TTCCAAATGTAGTGATGGGAACCAAACACAGCTCAGCTGTTTGAAAGGCAAGTGTCCTACCCACTGCACTTTATCTCTGGTCCCAAGTTGTAATTTCTTACAGCAGCAACAGAAAACTAATGCACCATTGTAGTGTGAGATATCACCACCGTCTCTGTACTGCTGAACCTTATCCCTTCCCTCTCTGTCTCCGTCTCTCTGTCTCTGTGTCTCTCTGTGTCTCTCTCTCTCTGTCCACTCTGCTTCTCTCCCCCTCCAAGCCCTTCTTCCCTCCCTTTCTTTAGACTTTTCATAAGAGCATAAAATATGAGATCTATCTATTTTGACTTTGGGGCTGTGTTTGGCAGCATCATGAGATGCTGGAGATAGAATTTTACCCTCCTCCCTCAACCCCCCTCTAACCCCCCATGTACCTTCTTAACAGACTTTTTTTTTTTTTAAATTCTCCAAGTTGTTCTCAGGAGACACCTTCCCAGGGGATTCATGGTGGTTCCATGTGGTGGTGCGGAACCATGTGGTCATGGGATTGAACCAGGGTCAGATGCATGCAAGGCATATGCATTAAACCATATACTGTCTCTCTGGCTCCTTTTACAGATTTGGGGTAGATTTTATTTTTTTTTCTTTTTTTGGGGGCGCACCCTCAGGGGTTCTGTTCAGGATTTATACCTGGCTCTGCACTAAGGAATCATTCCTGGCTGGGCTTGGGGGACCATATGGAATGCTGGGGATCAAACCTGGGTTGGCCGCATGCAAGACAAGCTACCTGCTATACTATTGCTCTGGCCCCCAGACTTATCTTTTATTTATTTTTATTTTTTTTTGTGTTTTTTTTTTCTTTTTGGGTCATACCCGGCGATGCAGAGGTTACTCCTGGCTCTGCACTCAGGAATCACCCCTGGCGGTGCTCAGGGGACCATATGGGATGCTGGGAATTGAAACTGGGTTGGCCGTGTGCAAGGCAAACGCCCTACCTGATGTGCTATTGCTCCAGCCCCCAGATTTAGCTGTACAATATTAACTGGAGTTACAACGTTGTACAGAAAAATCTCTCAAACTTAGTCATGTTGTGTCAGTGAAACTTTACACTTGTTGATCAACAGTTCCCTGTTAGCCTCATTCATTTCCCTTGCCGTAACATCCTCAAAGTTCACCCATATTGCATAGTGCACAATTTCCTTTTTCCCAACATTTTTTAGCACTGCTTGCTAATCATACATTTCATACACATCATTCCAACACCAGCCTATCACCAGAGTGCCTGTCTCCATCCACCAGTGTCCCACAGGCCTCTCCCACACACCCCTTCCCTCTTGTTCTTTAAGAATTGAATATACTACTGCACACATTCTCTGTGTCCTTTCTCAACTCCCTCTATCCCGCACAGGAATCAAGATAATTCCAAATCTCTGCTTCAAATTGTTTTCAGTGACTCACTTTCCATGTATATGGGATCAAATTCACCCTCTTGCTCTTGGCTAACAGGCCCTGCACACCCTTTCCCCGCCACTGCCTTCTCAGTCACTGGCCTTTGGGTCAGTGCCCTAGTCATTTCCTCTGCCTGGAATGCCTGGGCCCCAGCATGTGGCTAGATGGTCATCTCCTTCCTGTTATTCAGGTCTTAGCTCTAAGTCCACTGCCCAGAAAGGTCTTTCTTGACTCTCAGACCTGCAAGAACTGCCCGGTACAACCCTGGCCCATTTAATTTTTTTCCCCTTTATTAATTGACTTGCCACTTCGGGGCATTTCTTTATACATTTGTGCCTTTGTTTCCAGAGTGTCCCCTCTGCGTTTGAAACTTAGCGTGAGAATCTCTGTAACTTTCTACTGAGAGCCTTTGAGAGGCCAAATTGACATCATGACCAGGGAAGGCTTCCCCCATAGCTCTATGTTTGTCTATTCTTTTAACAGATCCTGGGTTTGGAAATCTGGGGCAGGGGGCGTGGGGGTGGGGGTGGGGGTGGAGGGGGAAGGGGAAGGCAAGAGATTCTCTATCCAGTCTTGTGAGTGCCTTGTGGGAGTAAGAGGTGGCTGGCACTGGGGCTACAGAGCTGAGACTGGCAAAGATAGATTGGTACTGGAATTCACAGGTTCTTTTTGCTTTGGGACCACACCCAGCGGTGCTCAGGGCTTACTCCTGGCTCTGTGCTCAGGGATCGCTCCTGGCAGGCTCAGGGAACTGTATCAGATACAGGGGATGGAACCATGTAAGACTAGTGCCCTACTGGCGCTATTATCTTTGTAGCTCCCTGCACAAAAGTTCACAGATTCCTAAAGTATCAGATGCTTAGTTGGCCTTTTAACTTTGTACTTCTTTATTAAGAGTTTGGTTACATTTGGGGATAGAAAAAACATTTCACTCTTAACAAGCAACTTTCACGGGGAAAAAACCTGGGGTTGAAGTTGAACAAATTTACCTCCTCCTCACCAGCAGAGGGGGTATAGCTCAGTGGTAGAGCATTTGACTGCAGATCAAGAGGTCCCCGGTTCAAATCCGGGTGCCCCCTTCTGGAACTTGTTTTATACTGGACGCTCAAATATCAAATTCTTGAATTTAACGGCTGAATTGTGTCCTTGATCCTATTTTCCTGTTTACGTATTCCCTGTACCTGCAGAGTCAGCTCCAGAAAAGTGATCCTAGTATTTCCCCCTCATCAGTGCCAAGTAATCCTCTCTATTTCTTTCTTTTTTTTTTTATTTTTGAGTGGAGGGAGAAAATCAAAGCATTTCACCAGGGACTCTAGGAGAAGATTAAAACCCAAATCCTTGGCCTGGCCAGGATCTCCTCAGCTTTACAGCTTCAGAACAAAACTCCTGTGCTCTCTTTAGGTAGAAGATGCCAAATTATTTCCACCCCTAAATCTGCTCCAGATCCAGTAGGTCTAATGGTGATTGTAGTTTACTCTTTGTGTAAAGCATCGGTGTAAAAGCAGGATGCTATTTCCCCCTAGTTTCTTCTGACCAGAAAGATTACTAGAATGAAACCAAGTTTGAGGATTTATTTAATTGCAGACTTTTACAGGACACAGCACTGACAGGAGCTAGAAGGTGAAAAGAGGGTCTATTCACTCCTGTGCTCAACCCTGATAACCTCTAGCTTCTATATCTCTGCACTGATGTCCAGGAATAGGAGGCGTAGGGGGGAGGGCAGTGGGGACGGGATGTTTCTTGGCTCTGGGTTCGGCACCAGGCAGCAGTTCTGTTCCATCTCCATGCCCAGCTTCAAGGCGTTTTTCACTGTAATGTGAACCGTGGGGAAAAATGCGCCGCAGTATTCCCGGGGGTTCAAGGATGACACAGCCAGATTCCGGATTTAAAATATCGCAACTGCCCTCTGACCCAGGCAGCATGCTTTGCTCTTTCTCCCTCATTTTTCCTTTTTTTGGGCAAAACCTAGAAGAAGGGGACGCACTTACTCCTTCCGTATGTGTTTTTGCTCTGACCCGGCAGGAAGCGGGTCACCCAGGCAGCGTCTCAGTCCCCACCTTTGGGTGAGAAACTGCATGACCTTGCTCAGAGTGTCCTCCCAGGCCCACCGCAGTGTGTCCCCAGAACAAAGAGCAAAGCACGCGCGTTCTCCCTGAGCGTCCCACTCCAGGCCTTCAGGTGCTTTAACAAGCCTTTGAAGTCTAATTCTGACTCATGCCCAAGTTTGGGAACTGCTGAGTTCGTTTGTCAGTTTGCATCAGGATGTAACTCTATTTTTGTAAATTGAAATGAGCTTATGGGTAAGCAGTGGGCCATTTTAAGTTTCTCAAATTCACCCACTCTGCCGGTGTTACGGGCAATGTGAAGGGTGAACACAATCAGGTGGGGTCATTGTTAATTAGGAACACTGAATTTGGAGTAGTCTAATGCACTAGTCTGTGCATTACCTCCTCTCCCGCCCCAACCTCAGCAGAAATGCATTGTTAACTTCTGTGTGGGGGGGTAGTCTTCTTGTCCCCAGCACCTGGCGCCTGGGCTTGTCTGACAACTCAGGCCCGAGAGAAATTTCCCCTCCGTCAGTGCTGCGCATGTTCTTTGTAGCTAATTGTGAATGTACCCATCTCCTCCTTCTGCAAGGTGTAAAGCAAACCTGGAAGTTTTCTGCTTAGGGTAAAGAGAATTGAGAAAAAGATTACAAAACCCTTTTTTTCCTTTCTTATATAAATTTAAAATCCAAGATTGTAAATGTATAAAATTTATAAAAGATATAAAATTGATACAAAATTATGAAAGTATAAAACGTAGAGCCAAGAAATGTGGCATTTTTCTTTGCTGAAAATTAGAAAAGCCACCAAGGGGACACCCAGATTCGAACCAGGAAACCCTAGACCGCAGCCAAGTTCTCTACAACGGAGCTATACTCCAACACCAATGCTGCATCTTGAGACAGCTCTTTTGGCTGTCAATTGTTAAACACTGAGGCTGGAGAACAAAATATGAGAAAGGAATGAATGAATGAGAAAAGGAGGACAGGCGCCAAACGGGAGGTGCCCAGATCCAGGATCCCCGGGAAAAACTGCACAGCAGAGGCGGAGAGGAATGCACGGGCCGGGCCTCGGGAGTCCAGGAGGGAGGGACCAGTTCCGCCCCACAAACGTGGAAAAGGATGTGTGGGGGGAAGGGAGGCGAACTGAGGGGCGGAGCGGGGAGGGGGGTGGTGTTCCAGGTAGCAGGGCAGGTTCACGCCAGGTACTGACGGGCACCATCTAGTACGCCGTTCAGGCAGGTCCACCTCAGCCCCCCTCCTCCATCCTCGACGGGCAAAAGGGTTGCCCGCCAGCGGGAGCCGGGCGCCCAGATGTGCAGCCCCCCGGGCTCCCGGTTCCTTCCAGCGCGGGGAGGGCCCGGTGCCCAGCCGGCTGCTCGCACCTGAACCCCCGGGCGCGCTTCTCCCGGGCTCCTTCTCGGAAGCCGGAGGACGCCAGGAGCTCCGGGGACCCCCTGGGCGCGCAGTCCCGGCCCCGCCGCCGTCCCCGGAACCCTCCCCCGCGCAGCCCCACGTCGCCGGGGAGCGCGCTTGGCCGCGCGCGCCCCTGCCCGCGGCGCGTCCCCGCCCCGGTGCAGCCCCTCCTCCCCGCCGTGTTTATTAGGGGAAGGAGGGCGGAGGCGGAGGCCAGTTCCCCAGCTCCAGCCGCGGCCGTCTCGCGCCTGCTCGCTCCGGGGACACAGAAGGCGCGCGAGCTCGGGCGTCCCCGCCCCGGCCTCTCCCGGAGCCATGAACCCCAGCTGCGCTCGGTGCGGCAAGATCGTGTACCCCACGGAGAAGGTGAACTGCCTGGATAAGGTGAGCCGCGGCTTCTGCGATCCCTGCCCCGGCCGTGCTCCAGGGAGGAGGGAGGGGAGGCGATGTCATGGGGTGTGGGGGGACAGAGACACCCCCACCCCCCAGTCCGGAAACCTGGCGATCCAAGGCGTGGCACACGGCCACGGCGGGAGGAGAGAGGGTTCCGTGGGCCGGGGCTGGGGAGGGGGTGTCCGAAGGGGCGTGGGGAGGCCAGGCCCGGGGTGGGGGCTGGGGGGAGGCGAGGGGTGCAGGCCCGCCCCCTAGGGCCGGGGAGTGAGAGGAGACCGTCGATCCCTCTCCGCGCCGAGCCGAGCGCCAAATAGGCGGAAGCTTGGGGCGCTGGGGGAGGGGGCGCCGGGGGGGCGGGGCAGAAGCCGGGGGGCCCCCGAGGAACCGTGCGGCGGGTCCTGGCGACGCGCGAGTGCTGCCGCTGGTGATGGAGGCTTCGGATCAGGACCCGACCCCCTCCGCGACACCCCCGAGTTGGGACGGCCGGAAGCCCCCGTGGTGGTGCCGTGGTGAATGCACTAGCCGACCCTCCGCCACGGCTTGCCCAGCCCCCACCCCAAATTAGAAGCCAGCTCCCCGCGCTGGGCGGTGGGGCCGGGCGGGGTCGGGGGCCGCGCCGAGATCTCCTGAAATTGTGCTCCGAGCCCGGCTTTGCAGAACAAAGAACTAACTTTTCGAAGCCGGTTTCCCCAATGGAGGGTGGGGTTGGCGGAGTTCAGGGGAAGCTGAGAGAAGGGGGAGGTGCCGGGGGTGGTGGAAGGTGGCTTTCTAGAAAAGAGCTGGGGTGCGGGGGCTTCTGATACGCCCCCTCCCCGTGCTGGGCTCATTCATCTGGTTGCCATTGTACTTGGGTGTTCCATGCAGTTTGGGTAGATCCTGACCCCTCTCCCGCACCCCATGATCCTTAGGTCGAATCCGTTCTCTTCATGCCGTTCCCAGCCTGCAGGCTTCTCGCAGGGCGGATCTGCCGCCTCCCACGGCTGGCTCCGAGTCTAAATAGTCTCGCCTTCGCATCTTGCCTTTGCATCTTACCCGGCAGGCGTGGGGCACGGGGGAAGAGGGGTAGAGTGTCCTGGGGCCAAGTTCGTCGCTCCCTGGAGCCAGGTTTTGTTTGGGAAAGGATACTTCATCCGATACTATGTAGTCTTATCTCCAACCCGCCCCCCCTCTCCCCTCTCACAGCTCCTGCAGCGAACTTTCCCCTGGGTCTGGGTGAAGACCAGGGGAGGTACCAGACTCACTCATTCTTTAGAACTTGCTCTTGGAGGAAGGGGCCAGAAGGGGGCTGGCCAGCAGGAGGCTTGGAGAGGGTCATGCTGTTGGCATAAGGGAGGTGGACACCCTCACCCCACCTTCCCAGGGACTTGCACCAGCTTTGTGCACTGTGGGTGGAGGAACAGAACCTGAGCTTGGAGGCACAGACTGAAGAGCTGGTTCCTGTTCCTGGGATTTTGTCCCACTTAGAAATTCCTTGGGGTTGCTTGTACTGAGAATATGCGGCAGGCAGAGGCAGCTTCGGTGGTGGGATGGCCGGTCTGGGGCGGGGGCCTGTGTCCTTGGCCCAGGGCTCTGCTCTCACCGCCCTTTGAATGGTCTTGGTCTCAGCCCTGGCCACTGTCTGGTGGGTATGATGATGTCACTTCCTCTGAGGTGGGGCTGGGCACTAAAGCCGGGCAGAGTGCCCAGAAGGGGCGTAACTATCCCTACCTTCCTGGGGTACATTGGCCTCCTGCGCAGATACCTAGGGTGTCGGATGTGTGGGGCGGGGAGAGGCTGAGCTCTTGCAGGGCGACTTGTGTTCTCTGGCCCCAGTTGGAAGGGACAGTGCAGGTGGTCCCCCTTCTTTAGCACCCTTCCTGCGGGAGGCGGCTGCTTTGGGGTGTTCTCACCTCTTGCATTGAGCTGCACCTGGTCTTCTCCGCCCCTGCTGGCTGTGAGGACTGCTTCCCACCTGAAGGACCTCACCTGGACGGGGCCGTTCTCAGCACCTGGGACATGGTTTCTGTCCAGTGGCCCCAGGCTTCCTGTCCACAGCTGAAGGTCTCGGTCACCCACCTCCCTCCGCTTTACCTATTTCCTTTTGCACACAATAATGTCACTCAAGGCTGAGTTTATCCTTGTGTTTGCCCTTTCTCCTCCCTGAGTCTTATCTCAAAGGCTTGGGTGGGTAAAGGCCGATCACCTCCTCTGCCCCCACCCGCAGTACCCAGAGTGCTCTGACCGGCACAGTGTGTAGAGACTGGTGCACTCTGGAATCAGGGTTTGAGGAGAAATAGGGTCTCCTCATTGACTTTCTCTCCCACTAGTCTTTATTGAGCACCTGCTTTGTGCCTGGCTCTCTGAGGGACTGCTGGAGAGCCCCTGGGCAGTGGCTGACCTGCTTGTCACAGAGAGGTGGGAAGCTGTGGCCCAGGCCTTGTTGGGAATCACCATATCTGGGGCGTTTAAGGCCAGTCGGGGGAAAGGTGGAGAATGGGGGATGGGGTGGCTCCTGGAAGGGGCTCCCTTCCTGCCAGCTCCTCCTCCTCCCCCTGCACGCAGCACCAAGAGCAGTTAGGAATGGCTTCTGCCTGAGGGCAGCCTTCCCTCTGCGCTCTCATTTTGGGTGGTGCCTTGGAAGTAATCCGGATCCTGGGAAAAAGTGGTCTTCCTAAAGTCTAGGCCTTGAGGCAGTTACCCAGGTAACTGGTGGTTTGGGTTAGCTTGGGGCAGTGTTAACACCCCCAGAGGATTTCTCTCCCCCCACCCTATCAGCCTGAGCTCTGGGAAGGAGTGAGTGGGACTTTCCTCTGTCGCCCCCCCCCCCCCCCAAGTCAGCCTCCCTTTCCGTCCAGGGTGCAGAGGGGGCACTGCCAGGTGGCCGACTCTGACCTGTAGCTCCTTGTACCATCCTGAACTTCTCCCCTCAGAGGATCCAGCCAACCTGGCCTGAGGGGTGCCCCATCATGTTGAATGCTTTGCCCCTCACTGGGGAGCTGGCTGCAGAGGAAAATGACCCTGACAGGCTCCTGGGCAGGTTCTTTAAGGCCTGAGCCAGTGCTTGAGGGCAGGGGAGGAGCAGCAGGCATGCCCGGTGCTGGTGCTGGACTTTGCCCCCGAGGCCTGAGTCTGGAATGCGTGTGATATCTTCCCTGGGTCTCCCCCCAAAGAAGAGTCTTGGCCTGGTGGTGCAGGTTGGGGCAGGATGGTGCTGGGGGCTGGGTGCAGACTGGTGCTCCTATCGGCAGGACCCCAGAGGCGGGCTGGCTCCCTCCCCAGTAGCCTTCTTGCTCTGGAGCAGAACTGCAGAGTTTTCTTGAACTAGGAAGGAAAGGGGGGGGGGAGCAGGTCTGGGTCTCAGGACAGTTAGATAGAGGTCCCCTAATTGTCACCTGCCACCCCATCACTTCCTGCCCTTGTGGTGCGGGCTGCCTCTGACAGCTGTGGACGCGTTTCCACACTCGCCCCTGAAGGCGCTCAGTTCATCTGGCTGCAGGGTTCTGAACTGGAGCCCCAGGGAGGGGACAGGAGCTTGCTGCTAACCCCCAGACTCTGAAATATGGAGGAGAAGTGACTGATGGCAGTGGGGACCCTCAGTAGCCTTGGAATCCTTCCCAGAGAGGCTGTGGTGGGGGCTGGGTAGGGCTGCTCTTTCCCTTTTCCTCCCCCAAGTCAGGGCGGCAGCTTTGCTGGCCCCCCGCCCCGGGTCCCTGCGTGTTTCTGCGTCTGTGTGTGAAAGTGGGTCATGGTCTGGATTCCGGAGAATGTTTTTCCCGGCAGGCCCCTGCGGGGCTGGGGGAGGCGGGGGGCCCAAGCAAGGGCCTTGTGGGCTGAATGTGTGGGGTGGTGACAGGACTGGGGCGATCTGCCAGCACCTCCCAGACATGGGCGGAGGCTGCCATGCTGGGGGTCGCTGGGGGGTGGGGACAGCCCTGTGTGGCACTGGCGGGCTCTGAGATCCGCCGGAAGCGTCCTTGGCTGGCCGCACCACTGGGCAGTTCCTGGATGGGTGACCAGGAGCCAGCCTGGTGGCCGGCATCATCTCTGAGTCCCTGGGTGCAGGCCTTTGGCCTGGGTTCCGGAGGTGGGGACTCTCATGACTGCTGGGGGCTGACCGCTTTCTGCCTCGAGCCTTTCTAGACTTGCTCCACTTGTGTCTCCCCGGCTCTTCCCCTACGGATGCCACAGGAGGGCATACCTGGCAGTGCTTGGGGTTGATTCTCCCCCCTTCTCCCCACCGCGTCTCCCCTGATTGGGGACCATGCAGTGCTGGGGCCAAATCTGGGGCTCCCTTGTCCAAAGCTGATGCTTCCTTCACCCTCTTCCCAGCACCTCTCCTGCTCTCGGGGCTTTGCTGGAGTCTCAGCTCTCACATCTCCTTCCTGGAGCTTGGGAGGGCGCAGTGGAGCCCCACCTGGACCCTGTAACCCTAACACGCCCTAACAGCACGAGAGCTGCCAGCCCCTGCCCTGTGGGCACTCAGCGCCTCTGGGTGCTTCTGACTCCCCAAGAATCTGAGCGGTTGGTGCTCTTACTCCCTCTGCGCACTGGACAGGGTGGCAGGACTTGAGCACGACACACAGCCAGGGCAGCCCCCTTGTTTCTTTTTGTTTTTGGGTCACACCTGGTGACACTCAGGGCCTATTGCTGGCTCTGTGTTTGGGGGTCTCTCCTGGTGGTGTTGGGGGACCAGGCGTGGCCAGGGTTCAAACCTGATCTGTTATGTGCAGAGTCTGTGTCGCAGCCCACTGAGCTTTCTTTCCCACTACAGCTGTTCCCATGAGGGAGGGTGGGTTCCATCAGAGTCTTAGATGGGGGACACTCCTGGCCGCTGTCAGCCTGTTCTCCAACTAAGGGGAGAAAAAGTGGGAGCAAAGGGTAGAACAGTGGTGAGGTCTGGAGCCTGGGATCCCACTCCTGGTTGGGGGGTTCCTATAGAAAGTGGGGGGTTTTCAGAAGTGCAACATCCCTAGGGGATCCCATGGGGCCCAGGGCTGGGAGTGGAAACGGGGGTTCCTGCCTAGAGATGGCTTCCCCTCATTCAGCTCATGCGGAGAGCTGACTTAGGCTCAAGTTTCTGCCAGCCCTCTGCCAGCTCCGTGCAGCTTCACCAGCTCCTAATGCGCCCCCACACCGAGCTTCCAACTGCTCAGGTCTCACCAGAGGGCGGGGAGGGGAGCGAGCCCGGAGCTGTCCCACAGGCCCGCTGTGGCCTTTGCTCTCTGTCTTGGGCGTCCCTTCTGAGATCCTGGTGTCTGACGGGGGTCCTCTTTCTGCTCTCCCCAGTTCTGGCATAAAGCATGCTTCCACTGCGAGATCTGCAAGATGACACTCAACATGAAGAACTACAAGGGCTACGAGAAGAAGCCGTACTGCAATGCGTGAGTGCGGGGCTGACCTTCTCCACATCTCCCTCACCTTCTGGCCTGTCCCCTGGAGGCCATCCCTGGGGGCCAGCAGGGCTGTGGCAAGTTCCCTGGGGGAGGGGAAGGTGCTTTCCCCAGGTGATGTGGCTTGTGAGAGTCTCATTCGGTCCCGGGGTGAGTGGGGACATGCACGTGTTCTTGCCACATCCCAGATGGCAGCCTGATGCCTGTGAGTGGTGATTTCTGTCCGCCCAGTATCTGCCTGCTGGCATCTCTTCTCTTCCTCATTTCCCTCTCCTAACCGCCACCTCTCACCTGCTCTGACCCAAGTGCCTCAAAGGAGGCCTTGGGGCTCCTGGCCACTGCTTTTGCTGGAGTAACTTTGCAGGGAACTGGCCACAGCCTGACCAGTAGCCAGGCCCAGGACAGACCCGCTTCTCTGCCAGGTGGGGAAAGTTTGCCGACTTGCCCTATCTTTTTTGGTGGAATCAGCTTGGACCCTGAGATTCTGCCTGCCTTGCTCTGGGAGCTGGGGGTCCCTTTCCACCCAGTGGACACTCCCTAGCCCTGGTGTCCCATCTTCAGGCTGCCTTTATGGATGAAGAGCGACTGCAAACTCTTACCTGGCTGGCCGCAGCTCCAGCCCAGAGTTTTCTCTGCCTGTTAATCAGAGCTGATGTTCACCTCAGGGGGAGTGTTGGGTGGGGCTTGGGCATAAAAGGGGTGGGAAGCTTCCTCAGAGGCTGTCTCTCCCTTCCTGCCCCCCCCCCCAAGTCCCTGACTCTTTCCACAGCCCTCCTCATGGGGTTCCATTCCTCATCAGTGCCCCTGTGGGTTTCTGCTGGGCCCTCATTCCCCAGAAGCCACTTTAACCTTGGCCCCTAGGGAGGGCTCAGCACTCTGGAAAACCTGCTGGGGGAGAAGGAGGGTCCCAGATTGGACCCTGCTCCTCCCCCTGCTCTTTTATTAGCTTCCCCGGGTCCTCTCCCCCACCCCACAAGGGAAATGGGACATTCTTCAAATTCTTAAGGACTCACACAAGCCCTGATTCTCTGCCACTTCCTTCTGCCTTGGGGAGTGGGGTGGGGTGGGGTGTGGGGTTCTGAGCCAGAAGCTGGGGCACTTAACCCCTTGGTTACTGGGTTCCTTTGGGCTAGATTCTGGGTCCCCCTGATTCCTTGGCAGTGGGGGTGGGGGGGGCAGTTGCTTAGCTTCTGCCCCTGGATGAAGCTGAATCTCGTGAAGCCCCAGCAGGTGTGGGGCTGCCTGGCAGCCTGGAGGCTGCACGGAGAGCTGAGCTGCTCATCCCTCCTCTCCTCCCAGGCTGCAGGGTGAGGATGGGGTCTCCCGTGAAGTTTGAGGGACCTAGAGGGGGCACATGAAGGTGACGCCTTCCTCCCTGGATGCTGCAAACATGCTTGTCCAGCTCTGTCTGGGCCCTCAGCCAAAGGAGCAGCTTGACCCTACTGGACACCCCCTGATTTTCGGCCCTGGCCTCTGCCCTGTTCATGGACCTTTGTACCTGACCCACTGGGCTGTTCTCTGGGAATTGCCCAGATGCAGAAGGACGGGAGTCACCTTGCCTGCCAGCCACCACTGAACCAAGCTCTGGGCCAGCCAGCCAGGCGCGGGTTCAGGAACAGGCCAAGGCAGACCTGCCTGAATGAGTGGAGGCATCCTCTGGACCTGCGTGGGTCTCACTGTCCTACCTACTCATCGGGGCAATGACCTTGTGGTGCTGGGTGCAGGCTCGGTGCAGCTGGTGCCCGGCTGTGCCAGCTCAGGGTCATGACTGTGTGGGAGGCCTGGGAGCTGATGGGGGAGGTCCAGAGCAGAGAAAGCTGCCACTGCCCCCGCCCCGCTGACCTTTCAAGACTGAGATTTGGGCCAGAGCGATAGTACAGCGGGGAGGGTGTTTGCCTTGCAAGTACCTGACCTGGGTTCGAACCCCGGCATCCCATATGGTTCCCTGAGCCCCTCCAGGAGTAATTTCTGAGCGCAGAGCCAGGAGTAACTCCTGAGCATCACTGGGCATGAGCCAAAAAAACAAACAAGACTGAGATTTGAGTTCTAGAAAGAAATTAAGTGAAAAGGCTTTTGTTTCTCTCCTCGCAGAATTGTTTGAGATGGAAGAGAACTGGGCAGAATGGGGTGGACCCCCCCAGAGGCATTTCTGAGCCAGCTCCGTGCCTACTCTGAGTGGGCTCCGCCTACCTCCACCTGGCAGCGGGTCACTTCTTCCCTGTGCCCTGTTCTTGGGCCACTCTTCCTGCCTGGCCCATGGTGCCCCCAGTGCTACAGGCCCGTGGTGGGGAGAACTGGGTAGAAGGGGACCCTCAGCAGTGTTCCCACGGGGGCAGGGCGGGTCCTTCTGGAGCCAGGATGTCAGGCTGGGTCCCCTCACTTCTGTTCCAGGCTCCTGTGGCTTTGCTGGGTTATTTTTGTCCCTTCTGGACAGAGCTGTGGTTTCTGGGGGAACGGAACTTTCAAACTCTTGGGGTGGCTTTTCTTTTGTTTTGTCTTTTGCTTTTTTGGGTTACACCCGGCAATGCTCAGGGGTTACTCCTAGTTTTGCACTCAGGAGTTATTCCTGGCGGTGCTCAGGGGACCTTATGAGATGCCGGGAGTTGAGCCCCCATCAGCCACTTGCAAGGCAGACAAACACCCTCCCTGCTGTACTATTGCTCCGGCCCTCGGGGTGACTTTTGGACCAGTTGGTGGCAGGAGCCTGGTGGGGATGTGCTGTGGGCTTCCCGGAAGTCCTGTGGGGTCCTCGTGCCCTCTCCTCACCATTCATTTAAGAGGGGGACGAGTCTTAGGTCACCCCTCTCCCAGGGCTCAGGGTAAGACCCCCTCCTGTGTCCTCACAGGCCCTGCAGGAGGCTCACAGTGGACCCCCCACCTTGGCATAGGTTTGAAGGACAGATGAGCTCTCCGCCAGCCTGCCAGTGCGCGTCCCCCGAGGCCCCTTGGCGGGGGCGGCCTGTCCGAGCATTGGATTGGATATGGCTGTCCTTGACCCGTGCTTGGGCCTCAGGGTTATCGGTTTCGGGGACGCAGTGAGAGAGGCAGTGCCTCTTTGCTTGCCCTGGGCCTGGGGCACATTTCAGCGTGCGTGTGCAGGGACACTGGTCTCGGGTGGTGGCTTTGTCTGTCCTCTGGAGCTGCCAGCAGCTGCCTGATTGCCCTCCCCCTGCCCGTCCCTGTCCTTGTCCCCTTCCCCAGACTCCCGCCCTTCCTTCACACACTCCCTGCCCCCCCCTCCACCCCCAGTCCAGATCCTGCTTTGGGTGAGGGGAGGGGCCGGCACTGGGGCCCACCCTGTGGAATGATTAACCAGGGCCACGGGAGGGACAAAGAAAGTGCTGTGCTGGGGACCCAGTTCAGGGCGGGCTTGGGCGGGCTTGGGACGGCTGGTTTCCCCCATCCTGCCCTCCCCACCCCCACCCAGAGACCCAGTGGCAAGGAAGGCGTTGTGGGGTCCCCGAATGGGTCTCACACCCACCCTGGTGTTCTCACGTGCTGGAGGGGCGGGTGGTGGCCGCGTGGGGGCAGAGAGGGCCCAGCTCTGCTTCCTCCCAATTGTTTCCAGCAAGGCAGTGGGGGAGGAGCACTGCCCTGCCTCCCTGTTCCCACCCTGCTGAAGTCAAGCCTGAACCCCCCACCACCACCTCCCCAAGGGGCCTAGGCGTGTCCTCAGGGCTCCTCTGCAGTTGAGGACACTCCTGCTGCCCTCGGCTCTTCCCCACCCCCACAGACTTCCCTCACAGGCTGCAGCTCCACGGAGCTCCTGCCTGGAGCTGAGGATGCGGTTGCCATGGGAACTCGAAGCGCAGTGAGCTGGGGATGGGGAGAGGGAGAGGCAGGCTGCTCTTCCAGGGCTGGGGGCTACGGGGAGGGGACAGGGCTGACCCAATGGGAGGAATATAGCTGCTGCCACTGCTCCTGCGTGACACCGGCCGCCTGTGGCCAGGGCTGGGGGCTCAGGAGCTAGGACAGGGTGTGTCTGAGAGAGGATAACTCCCCATTCCTGATGAATCCAGTCATCTGAAGCTGGACTTTAGTCCCCAGATCAAGTCCCTCACGATCCAGGCAGCACCCCCTTGCCCTTTGGATGGAGTTGTGTTCTGGCTGTGGGGGGGCTGAGTTCCGGAAGAAATGTGAGTTCTAAGGGAGGAGGGGCCCAGAGAGATATAGTTCAATGGGGAGCGCACCTGTCTTGCACGTGGCTGACCTGGGTTTGATCCCCAGAAGTCCATATGGTTCCCTGAGCCCCTCCAGTAGTGACCCTGAGCACAGAGCTAGGGGTAAACCCTGAGCATCACTGGGCGTGGCCCCCAAACAAAAGAAGGATGAAATATGTACTAGCCAAGCCCAGAGATGCTGTGGTGGGGTGGTGGTGGGGGTCCCCTGGGATGTTTCTGGAGGCAGAGAGAAGGTGTGGCATGCACATGTGGTCCGGGCCTTCACAGGACATGTGTGCAAGGGCCCCAGATTGGCAGTGTGGACATGTGTCGGGCCGGTCTGCTGCCCTTGTGCCAGACGGGATTTCCGGATTTGCAGACTGGCCAATGAGGCGTCCTGTGTTGGCACGTGCTCTCGGAGCACATCTGTGCATCCAGCGCCACCCTCCCCCCACCCCAGAACCCCGCACCCTCTCGTGCCCAAGGCTCTGCTGCTGCACTCCTGGGCCTGCCGGCAACAGCCTGGCACCCGTCCCCAGCAGCTTGCTGGGAATAGCTCCTGAGCACGACTGGGTGTGGACCAGAAACGGGGGGGGGGGGGGACATACCCCAGGCTTCTCCCCACCTACCCTGCCTGCAGAAGGGCATCTGTGGGGGTGCATCTTGCAGGTGCCCCCTCCTCAGCCTCAGTGCCCACCAGTCCTGCTGGGACTCTGACTTGGGTCCCTCCTGCTGGTCTCCCTTTGGTCTGTGGAAACAGGCTCCCCAGAGGGCTGCTCCCTCCCTGCCACTGCTCAGACCTTTGGAACTGGGCCTCATAGCCGTGGGTGGCCTGGCTGGCCTCACTGCCCCCCCCACCCCCGCAGCTGCAGCCGTCACCCCATGGGGCCCTCACAGGCTGTGTCTGTTGTCAGCTGCGGGCACCTGTGCTTGCTCTTCAGCCACTTCCCTCCCTTGGCCAGGGAAGGGAAAAAATTGGGGGTCTGGGCCCATGGGGGAGGTAGGAGGGGGTGGGGTGGGGCTGCCTTTGAGGAGAGGTGCCCTGGTCACTGAGTCTTGCCCCCCAGGAAAGAGGATTTTCCCAGGGCTGTAATTTCCCCACCCCCTGCCCCATTGGTCCATAGCAGGGTCTGGCTCACTGCCCTTTCCGGGGAGGACACACACACCCCACTTCTGCCCTTCACAGTGGAGGCCCAGACAGAAGTCGTAGGCTCACATGTGGCTCTGACTCAGGGTGGCGGCCTGCGAGCACCCAGGGTGATGCCCAGAGGTAGGAGGGCAACTCGTGCCCAACCCCAGGGTGTGTGGGCTTGGAAGAAGATGAGCCTGGTCAAGGCACACTGCCCGCCTAACCTCAGGCCGCTTTTGGAGGAAACACCCTCAGCCCTTGCAACAAGCGCACAGACCACAGGATGGTTTTGGGGGGAGGGGGCTTATGCAGAAGTTGTCGGTGGAACATGGAACATTAGCCATTAGAGCTTGGGATACAGTATATAGCAAAGCCCCCCTGCCCCCCCCCACACACACACAATCCTCTCCTGCACTAGCAATGGTGAGAGAGTGAACTCAGAGGAATGATGTGATGGATCTGTCTTGTAGTTTGAACTTGGGGCCTCACATTTGCAAGGCTGGTGCCCTCGGGCTAGCCACATCCTCAGTCTGAGAAATCTAGCATGCACGGTCAGCCGAGTGCCCGGTCTCCTCCCTGGGGGAGAGCGGGCTGCTCTGGCTGAATAGTTGCCAGCTGCCCTTCTTTCCTGGGGCTGGACATTGCAGGGCCAGTCCTTTCCCACATCTGCTGGCCCCGGGAAAGGGTCTGGGAGGCCTCCTTCTTGACCTGCCCTGAGCCTCAGTCCCCCACCTCTGCCAGAGGGAGACAATGGGCTGTCAGCGGCCAGAGTTTGTTTGACTCTCGGGGCCAGACCGAGAATACGGTGGGGAGGGCATTTGCCTTGCACACGGCCGACCGGAGTTCGAACCCTGGCATCCCATATGGTCTACCAAGCACTGCCAGGAGTGATTCCTGAGTGCAGAGCCAGGAGTAACCCCTGAACATTGGGTGTGACCCAAAAAGAAAAAAAATCAGAGTTTGTTGGACTCTGGCTTGGACAAGGAGCACAGAACACCTTATTATCTGTGCTCAGCCACCAGCTGGATGCCTCCTCTCTGACCTCCAGGTCATTGTCCTGCCTGCTCTTCCCTGCAGCTAAATTGTGAAGCCTTTGAAAGAACACATTCCTTTCACTTACCTCACCTCCTCCAGGAAGCCCCTGGGACATGCACTTCTTTCTCACTAGTTTTGTTTTGTTGGTTTAGTATGGGGCCACACCCTGCGGTGCTCTGGGAGCTCTGGGCTTTCTCCGGGGCTCTGAGCTCTTGGATCCTTCCCAGTGTGGCTTGGGGGGGACCTTTTGGGGAGCTCGAGAGGGAACCTGCCTGGGTCAGGTGTGCAAGAAAGCCCCCTGCCCACTGTACTGTACTTGGCCCTCTCGTCCCTCTCTCAGCAGTGTGGCTCGCTTCTGTTTCCGGCTTTTGCCTGATGTGTCCTGACCCTGCCCGTCTTCTCCCCAACTGGTGGGGCCACCTGTGGCCCCAGTTCTCCTGTGTGCTCAACTCTAAGACGTGCCCCAACCGGGGGGCATAAGGAGTCCCCAGCGGGTCCCCGGGGCCTGCGTGGGCCCCACTGTGGTCTCCCTGGCGGCCCAGCCTTGTCTTCCCTGTGTGGTCCTGGCCTAGCGCCAGAAGCATGAGCTGCCTGCGAGGGAAAGAGGAAGCTGTCTGGAGAGTTGGACGTGCCCCCCAGCCTGACCCCTGTTCTCTCTCCTGCAGACACTACCCCAAGCAGTCCTTCACCATGGTGGCCGACACCCCGGAGAACCTGCGCCTCAAGCAGCAGAGCGAGCTCCAGAGTCAGGTGAGGGCACCGGAGGGAGGCGGGGCCGGGCGCCTGATTTGGCCAGACTCCTTCCCCTGTGATGGCTCAGCGAGTCACCCTGCCCCCGCCCCACACCCAGTTACCTCATGTCCTGACCTTACAGGGAGACGGGGGTGGGCCAGCTCCCACTTCCTACCTGGAAGGATGTGACTGATTCTGCTCGGGGAAATTTCATGGGTGTTCCCCTAAGCACACCTCCCTGCAAGCTGCTTCCCTGCCCCACGAAACCCCCAACTAGAGGTGTGAATTAGAGTCCCATGTCAGTCCCAGGTGCTCAGTGGCCCAGCAGTGGCCCAGTCCCAAGTTGCTTTTTATTTTATTTTATTTTTATTTTTTTTGCTTTTTGGGTCACACCTGGCTGATCATCAGGGGTTATTCCTGGCTCTGAACTCAGGAATTACTCCTGGTGGTGCTCGGGAGGCCATATGGGATGCTGGGAATCAAACCCGGGTTTGCCGGCTGCAAGGCAAATGTCCTACCCGCTGTGCTATCACTCCAGCCCCACAAGGTGCCTTCTTGGTCAGAGCCTACACTGTCTTTGTCTCTGGGGCCTATTCCTCAGGCCCCAGCCAGCACCTATTATGGGGGAGGCATGCCCCCTGCCTGAGGGGCTCTAGGTTATGCCCTCCCCCCTCACTCCTGGAACCCTTTTAGGGTGCCTGGGGAGTTTCTGGTCAAACCTGGGCTGGACAGTGAGGTGGGTTAGGACAAAGGCCCCTTCAATGGAGACTGTATGACTCAGGGGCACCTGGGCCTCAGAGGGCTTTTTCCTCCTTCCCCTGGTCCCTGCAGTGGGGGCTCCTGTGACCAATGGTGGCTGTCCCCGGCCGGTCATAGTGGCCCAGTGGTTTGTCCAGACTTGCCAATCCTCTACAGCCAGGAAGGAACTGCAGTTCCAGTTGTACAAATGAGGAAACCGAGGCCCAGACCTCCCGTGGTAACTGAGCTCGTGACAGTGCTAACCTGCATGTAGGGAACCTCTAGCCCATGGGCCACGTGAGGCCTGTACATGCCGAGGCTCAGTGTCCACTGGATGGACATGCTGCCTCTGCTGCCTTGGCCCGTCTGCCTGCTGTGTGGTCCACAAGTGTAGTGATGAACGTCCAAGTGGCCTTTGGCATAACAAAGGTCCCCACTGCTGGCTCGAAGCTCGTGCCCAGCCCCTGGGACACACCTAATGGAGGAGGGAGTATAGGTGGGGCTGCTGTGGGTGCTAATAAGTGGGGACTTGGGTTCTGTCTTTTATCCAGAGAGCTTTCCCCAAACAACTCCGTGTGGAGAACTCCCTGTTTCCATCCTAAATGCAGGGGAGCTCCTTATACTGGGGAGAACTTAACATATTTTTAAAAATTGGGGTGGGAAACAGGTGGAGAGATTGTATAAGGGTAAGGCACTTGCCATGCTTATGGCTGACCTGGGTTTGATCCCTGGCATCGTATATGGTCCCTCAAGCCCTGCCAGGAGTGATCCCTGAGCACAGAGCCAGGAGTAGGTCCTGAGCACCTTGGGTGTGTGCCAAAACAAAAATGAGGGCCATACCTGGTACCTGGGGCTTACCCCTGACTGGGTGCTTGGGGGTTACTCCTGGCAGTGCTGGGGGGACCATGCGGGGTGGGGGAAGGAACCTGGGCCCCCTGTATACACAGCTGCATCCTAGCCGGTTTACCGTCTCTTTGCACTGGGGAAGAGCTTTTGTTTGTTTTTATTTGTTTGTTTGGGGCCACACCCAGCAGTGCTCAGGGCTTACCGCCAGCTCTGCTCAGGGATCACTCCTGGTGGCGTTCAGGGGGACCATACCCGTTTCCAGAGAATGGACCAGGCTTGCCTCTGCCCATGGCAGCGCCTTACCCACTCTGCTCTCTGTAGCCCAGCCAGGGCCTTTGGTTTCTTGCCTTCTCCTTGGCCGGTTGGGAGTGTTTGAGGAGGGAGGCAGACTGAGAGGGTGCTGGGCAGTGGGTTTGAATTTGTCTTCACTGCATTACCTGAGGCTCAGGCCTGTGTTCCGGTGGTGGGGACCCATAGGGGGACATGGGTCTATCCCTGAGGCAAAACTCCCCTCTGCCAATGGGTGTCTGACTTGCACCAGCCCAGACGAGGCCCTGGAGGCCCAGCTGGGGAGAGGAGAGGCTGGGACAGCCCCGCAGTAGGGCCATTCTGTGTGTGTGTGTGTGTGTGTGTGTGTGTGTGTGTGAGAGAGAGAGAGAGAGAGAGAGACCCTTGATATGTATGTGAGGTGTGAGGTCCTGGTGTGTGTGTGTGTGTGTGTGTGTGCGCGTGCTTGTGCATGACCCCTCTCCCCCCACACATTCCTCCCTCCCGCGTGTATGAGAAACCCTATGTGTTCGTGTGTTTGTGTGACCAACCTTGCTTTGTGTAAGCGTGTGTATTGAACAGGCCATGATATGTAGTGTATGGCCCATGTTGTGTTTATGTGACAGGGCCGAATGCGCGCACGTGTGTATGTGTGTGTGTGTGTGTGTGTGTGTGTGTGTATGTTTAGGTGAGTACCTGAGGCAGCTGGGTGAGGGCAGCGGCTCCTGAGTGTGGGACCTGTCAGAGTGGCTGTAGCCAGAGGCCAGCGATCCAGGTGCTGAGGGGTGTGTGTGGGCTGGGGGGGTGGTGTGTATTCAGACAGGTCAGTGGACACGCACACACCCCAACTCCCAGGAGGAGAAATGCAAACCTGGCTGCTTCCCGTGGCCTTTGTTGTTCCACAAAAGCTCAGCTGCGGCTCTTTGTGCCTGAGAAGCGGGGTCTGGGCGGCCGCACCCACCCCACCCCGTCCTGTCCTTCGGGAGCAGCCGGAGGGGGTGCAGGGCACAGTTCTGCTCGGGAGGGCCGTGTCCTCCGCCCCCACCCCAGTGTCTCACCTCTCCCAGGTGACGCCTTCTCTCCTCACAGCCCCGAGGAGCTGCGGGCTCTGCCTGTGCCCCCTGTGCCCGTGGCACACTCAGGTAGCGGCCATGCCGCGTGCCCTGGGCATAGTCACTGTACAGAAGGGTCCCGGAATCTGCATTTCGATTTTGTCCCCCTCCCCGCCCCCCCCGCCCTGGGTGCTTCTGGCGAGCATGACTGTTCTTGGAGCCACACCAGTGGCTTTAGGAGGTGACTCCTGCTCTGTGGGTGTAGTCCCGTCCCTTTGAGGCCGGGTGGGGCAGGAGGGGGACAGGTGAGGAGAGTCGCTGCTGCCCCATTTCTGCCGTGGGCACTGGGGCTCTGCTCTGCAGCCGGGCCAGGGGGTGGGCAGAGGCTGGGGGAGCTGCGTCATCGCAGCGCGTGTGGGCTGGGCTGGCTGCTGCCCTCACTGTTTCCGGACTGTGCTGTGCTCTGGGCGGGGGAAGGGCCCAAAGGCCGCCTGGCCCCGCCACCCCTGGGACAGGTTTTGGTTCCTGTGGCCGTTGGGGGCAGGGCTGCTGGCTTGGCGGTGGCTGTGGAGGGGAAGTGGAGCTGTCCACTGCCTCCCAGGGCTTGCATCGCTCTCCAGCGCCCGGCCTGCCTGGGCCCTTCTCTCTCTCTCTCTCTCTCTCTTGCGCACACTGTCTCTTCCTCGCTTTGTCTCTCTTTCTGTCTCTCTCGCTCTCTGTGTGTTTCTACCTCTCTGTCTCTGTCTCTCTATCTCTGCCTCTCTGTCTCTGTGTCTGTCTCTCAGTGTCTGTCTCTCTGTCTCTTTGTCTCCCTCTGTCTCTCTGTCCGGTATGCTGCTAGAGCTGTTTCTGGATGGTCCTCCCAGTGCCCTGTTGGTTCCCAGAGTCCTCCCTGCATGCTGGCCACCCCAGAGCTGACCAGAAATGACCCTGCCCCACTGAGGCTCTGATCCAGCTGCCCCCTGTGCCCACCCCAGCACTCAGAAGCTGTGGCCAGCTGCACTTATGAGGAGGGGGATTCTCCTCTGGGGACGGGGCCTCCCGAGCAGTACTGGGGGGGCCCGTGGTCACTTCCTGACAAAAGCCAACTGGGCTGGCCTGTTCAATGCTGGAGTGGACGGTCCAGTGCTGCTTTGGACCCAGTGGTGGCTGCGGGTCACCAGGGCGCCCCCAGCTGTGTTTGAGGGCCTGTGCAATGCAGGGATCCGGTGTTAGGCCTGATGTGTGTGAAGCTCCCATTACCGTCCCTCAAGCCCCCCTGACCTCTTCATTTCCCATCCAGCCCCAGTGGAAAGTGCCTGGGGGTGGGTCCCACCCTTCCTTGAGGCCCTGTGACCAACTGGGGTGGAATCCACAGTCATTGGCTTCGTGACCCTGGGCAGGTGACTGGGTCTGTCTGATGGGGGGGGGGGCTTTCTCCGCTGGGTGTGAGAATGCTTATCCAGAACATTCTCTGGTGTGGAGGCAGAGCCTGAGAAGAAGACCAACCCCCTCCCCCAACCCTCCCCCCAACATCCCGAGCTGGGCATGGTGTGGAACTGGGCTTGGCTGCAGGGACTCTTGTTTCTTCCCTATCTTTTGTTTTGGGGCCACCACCAAAAATAGTGCTTAGGGACAGGTTTGGTGAGGTTCTGGGGGACCCCTCCTGGTGGTGCTGGGAACCTTGCCAGGGCTCCATTCTGGGGCTCCCACGGGTAAAGCGTGTCTCAGCCCTGAGCCTGGCCTCTGGCCACACAATGCCCTTTGGACAGTTGGACAGTTGCTCCAGCACTGACCTTTTCCATTTGCTGTCCTCTGCATCTGTGTGTCTCTGACTTGAAAGTGGATTTCTCTTTTGTTAGGAGGTGGTGTTGCATTACTGAGGTCAGAGAGATAATATAAGGCTAACACGCGGCCAAGCCTGCATCCCTGGCCCAGCTTAGAGCCTGGCACCTCCAGGTGTGGCCTCAAGCCCATGCCTACCCAACCTCGAAAGGGGGTCATTTACAGAGTATGTGGGCCCAGCTTGTGATGGGCACATCACTGTCACTGTCACTGTCTTCCCATTGTTCATCGATTTACTCAAGCGGGCACCAGTAATGTTTCCATTGTGAGACTTGTTACTGTTTTTGGCGTATTGAATATGCCACGGGGAGCTTGCCAGGCTCTGCTGTGTGGGCGGAATACTCCCAGTAGCTTGCTGGGCTCTCTGAGAGGGACGGAGGAATTGAACCCGGTCTGCTGTGTGCAAGGCCAAAGCCCGACCCACTGTGCTATCGCTCCAGCCCGACAGGCACATACTAAGTAAAAATATGTAGAAATGTTTCTGATCAATAAAGATACTGGAGAGACAGTACAGTGAGTAGGGCACTTGCCTAGGTTCAATCCCTGACGTGTCATATGGTCCCCTGAGCACTGCCAGGAGTAATTCCTGAGTACCGAACCAAGAGTAAACCCTGGGCATTGCCAGATGTGGCCTGAAAACAAACGAACAAAAACAGGGGAGGGTGGGGGCAAAAGATAGGACAAGATAGGACAGCAGGTTAGGTGTTTGCCTTGCACCCAGCCCATCTGGCCTTGATGCTTGGTACTGCATACAATTCCCCGGGACCCCCGGGAGTGAGCCCTGAATACTGCCGGATGTGGATCCCAAACAAAACAAATAATAAAAACACTATTTCGAAGTCCAGGTTTTAGCGTTTTCTAAGATTCAGCAGGGCAGTCATTTTCCAAACAAACTAGGTTACTTGGAGATTGTGTCTATACTCCATTCATTTTCCACTCATCCTCCCCAAGCATGTACCTGTTGTGTGCGGGGGCTGGTGATGGGAGCTTGGGAGGACCCCTGGCAAACCCCCACCCGGAGGTGGTTTCCTGGGTGATGGTGCTCTGGGCAGGAGGGCTTGGCCCAGGCGTGGTGGTTCCAGCGTGACCCTGAGTGACCTTGGTTTCCATGGGAGCCGCTAGGGAGTGACAGGAAGGGCCCTGCCCACCCTGTGGCTTGTGCCTCTGCCACCTGCTCCCCACCACAGTCTTTCGGGAACCTTCCCCACCTTGATTCTCCACAGCCAGGGCAGGTAGATGTTCCTCAGGGACCCGGGATGGGCGGACTTAGACTCAGTCCTCCTCAGAGGCTCTTAGTTCCTCTGCGGGGACCCAGAGAGGGGATCCTGCCTGGTTCAGGGGCCCACTGAGCAGGCTCTTTCCTGCCTGTGCCTGGGAACCAGCTGATGTCACTGCCCTGTCACCATGGCGATTCTCCTGCATGAGGGGCCTGACCCTTGCCAGGCCAGGAAGTGGAGGGAAGGCGTGGGTCTGGCAGTACTTGTGTGTTGACAAAGCACTTTCACACTCACCCTTATCGGCTCCGCTCTGCTCCCCGCCAGGGATTTGCAGCTTCCCTTAGGCTCAGGCTGGGACCAGCAGCCATCTAGATTGATCCTTGATCCTTAGGGCTGGGGAGCAGAAGGCTGGGGGACCTTTGACCCCAGACCACCTAGGGAGAAGGAGCCTGTGAGTATTCTGCTCCTTCTGACTCTTGGTTGAGCTGATGTTGGCATAGGGCACCCCCTTCCTATTATGTCAGCAGATTCCTGTGAAAGCCCTATGGGGAAACCAAGACCAGAGACCTTGGATTTGAGGTTTCTATGGGACTACTTCTTTCTTTCTTTATGTTTTTGTTTTTGTTTTTGTTTTTGTTTTTGGACCAGGCCTCAGGTTAGGGTTAGTCCTGGATCTGCATTCAGGAATTATTCCTGGCGGTGCTGGGGTGCTGAGGATCAAACTTGCCGGGGTTGAGTGCGGGCAAGGCAAAAGCCCTGCCTGTTGTGTTATCACTCCAGCCTCACAAGGCTACATTTTTCTGATGCTAAATGTTTTGCCTTCCCTGATGCCCGCTTCTCATTGTACCGCCAGCCCTGGGTTGCTTTGATGGCCCGGGACTTCTGGAAGAACAGAAGGGGTGCGGGTCCATACCTTTGGGATGAGCTGGTGTCATATCTGTATCCACTGCAGTAACTTCCTGCCTGAGGGATCCAGCACCTCCCGGCCTTTGTGTTAAATCTGGGTCAGAACAAAGTGGGTTGAGGAGCTTCTGTGTGGAAGGAGAAGCCCTTGGACATAGAGGGGCCTCGGGCCCCTGGGGCCATGCAGGGTCTGACAGGTGCAGTGGGCTGAGTGCAGCTCCCAGCTGCGGCCGGATGTCTCCCAGCTCGGGAGCCGCGCCTCTGGAAACTCCCAAGTGCTAGGCCTCGTGTCCTGGGCTGACCTGCCCTGGGACACTGCAGCCCTGCGGAGGAAGTCCAGGCAGCTGTTGGGCTGGAACAGCTGGCTGTCAAGTGAAGTCTCTGGAAGCTGTGGAGCAGTGCTGGGCCCCAGGGGCCTTCCGGGCTCTGCTCTGTTCTTCTGCCTTCCCCTTTCAGCTCCTTCCAGCATCAGCTCGTCCTTTCTGATGTCCAACTTGAGTTTCTCTAGGACTCGAATTTTCCATGGAACATGGAGGGGGCCAGGGGAATCAGTCCTACAACTTGCACCACCATTCTGGAAAGTTGTCTCCCACTGTGTCCTGTCTAGGACTCCTGCCTCATGAAAAAAGGAGGCTTCAGGGGGCTCTGGGAAGCTGTCAGGCCCTAGTAGAGGCTCACTGAGTTTTGGGGGGTGGGGGTGGACATGCGGCTGGACCCAATCTTGTCTCTCTTTGACACAGCCCTCACCCAGCTGGTTCATAAAAAAATCCCTTGGAGGAGTGGAGGTGGGTGGTGGTGGCTGGAGCCATAGTATAGCAGGTAGGAGGTTGACCTTGCACAGCCGACCCAGGTTCAATCCCTGGCATTCCCTTGGTTCCCCGAGCACCACCAGAAGTAATTCCTGAGTGTAGAACCTGGAGTAACCCCTGAGCACTGCTGGGTGTAGCCTAAAAACCAAAAAACTCCCTTGGGGGGTTGGAGCAATAGCACAGTGGGTAGGGCGTTTGCCTTGCACACGGCCAACCGGGGTTCAATTCCCAGCATCTCATATGGTCCCCTGAGCACTGCCAGGAGTAATTCCTGAGTGCAAAGCCAGGAGTAGCCCCTGTGCGTTGCTGGGTGTGACCTGAAAAGAAAAAAAAAAAACTTCCGCCGGGTACAAAGCACTTCATTCTGGCTGCCTGAGGCTGGGGTGTTTAGGGGCCCTGGAAAGAACCTTCTGAACCTTCTTCCAACAGCGCTTGTGCAGGCTGAGCTGTGGGGAAGGTCTTGAGTCAGGCATCAGGGTTTGTGTCTTGGGGGGGTGTGGAAGTCCCTGCTGCCACACTGTCACCTTGGGCTGGGGTCTCTGCCTCCCTGTGGTCAGTCTCAGGGCACCAGGAATAGGAGCATGTCAGGATTCTGGAAGACTCCAGACACCGTGTCTGCTCCCCCCACCCATCCCTTCCTCCCCCCAGACACTGTTACAGCTGCTGCTTCTCTGGTGCTTCCGGTTGAGGTTCCTGCTTGGCACTGGCCTCAGAGGGAGACCCCACAATCGCGACCTTGCTGGCCAGGGTTCCATAGGTTGTACTGACCCTGTTTTTGTCCCCCCTCACTGACCTCCAGGTGCGCTACAAGGAGGAGTTTGAGAAGAGCAAGGGCAAAGGCTTCAGCGTGGTGGCAGACACCCCCGAACTCCAGAGAATCAAGAAGACCCAGGACCAGATCAGCAATGTAAGTTCTGCCCGCGCTGCCTCGCCCCACGCGGCCTGTCCCCTGGGCACAGAAGAGGCAGATTCTGGGGTTCCTTCTCTCCTGGCTGGGTCTGTCAGAGGGCGAGGCAAAGGCATGGGATACTTGGAGACCTGCTTTCTGAATGTCCCAAACGTATGCCCCCAGCATATCTGTCCTTTGGGGAGCATGTGAGTGGCCCAGGCAGGGCCGGTCACCCCGCCCCCTCTCCCAAGCCCTGTGTGGGGGTTCTCTTCCCCTCCCTGGGCATCTGCAGGCGCACCATATTGTGTGAGCACAAAGGTCAGAGCCAGTGCTGGGTGCTGACGCCACCCCCGTCATTTCCACCTCCCTGCTCTCCGCCCCCACCTCTGCTTGTCCTTCCTTCCTTCCTGTGTCAAAACCCCAGCCAGCCGCACCCCAGCCTGGTCAGCAGAGTCGGCTGTGTGTGTGTGTGTGTGTGTGTGTGTGTGTGTGTGTGTGTAGAGCGGGAGCAGGGTGGAGAGGGGCCCCACACTCTGCAGAGGATCGAGCTAGCTTTTCTGCTCTGCTAAGGGCCCGTGCAGCTCTGAGGAGGCCGCGTGGGACCGGGTGTGCTGTGAGGCTCAGCTGACCCCTGCACCAGCTCCCCGCGCAGAGCTGCGGGTGTGCCCTCGGCTGGGCCAGCGGGGTTCACATATGAAGAACCAGGCAGGCCACTGTCTTTATGTGGCACGGGCAGGGCTCAGCCAGCTGCCTGCTGTCACTCTGGCTGAGTGCAGGGCAGAGGCTGTGGGCCCTCAGTCTCAGGTGGTCTAGCTGACCCCAGGTTCTCCACCCCACTTCTCCGCCCCCCCCCCCTTGTCAGGGCATTCCTCCTTTCTTTCTTGCTTGCTTGCTTTGGAGTCTCTCTCACCTGGCTCTGCACTCAGGAATCCTGGCAATGCTCAGGGGACCATATGGGATGCTGGGGATTGAATCCGGCGTGTGTTGGCTGTGTGCAGGGCATGCCCTCTACCCATTGTACTATCGCTCTGCCTCCACCCCACCCCCACATTCATTGTTTTCTTTGTGGGGGTGGGCACCTGGGCCAACCCTGGTGACCATAGGCAAATCCAGAACCTTGAGTGGGCCAGGCATGTTCTTTGCCCGGGGCCACGTCCCTGGCTCTGAGAACACTCTTGAGACCTGCGTTTCCTGGTGTGGGCTGATGTGGGGAGCCGTGGTAACTCAGCTGCGGCTGAGCACTGTTTCCTGTCTGTATATTCTGGATATTGCTCTCAGGGCGAGAGCATACTCTCTGCACACAGGAGCCCCGGGTTCAATACCTGGCACTTCATGGTCTCCCCTAATTTATGAGAGTGACCCCTGAATACCCAATCAAAAGTGAGAGTAACCCCTAAACACCACCTTGTAAAATTAAAAAAAATTAAGATTAACATTTTAAAAATCTTATTGTTCTGCAATAGCACAGCAGTATTGTTTGCTTGAACATCGTGGGGGTCAGTCCTGGCAGAACTGAGAGGGCCATATTGGGTCTCTACCAGGGGTAAAGCTGGGGTCGGCCACATGCAAGTAAGCAAGCTCTTCACTCTTTTTGTTTTTTTAATTTTGTTTTGTTTTGGGGGCCACACCCGGCAGTGCTCAGGGATTACTCCTGGCTCTGCGCTCTGCAATCACTCCTGGCCGTGCTTGGGGGTGACCATATGAGGTGCTAGGGATATTGGCCGCGTGCAAGGCAACTCCCTACTTGCTCTACTATTTCTCCAGCTCCCATGTGAGAATGCTCAGGGGTTACTCCTGACTCTGCATTCAGGAATTACTCCTGGCGGTGCTCGGGGTACCGTCTGGCCATGCCCAAACCAAACCAAACCAAACCAAACCAAACTGGTTTCTCTTGAGGGGCTACACGTAGAGGTGCTCTGGGGCACATTTGTGTGTACACCAAACCCAGGGCCTTGTGCTGGGATTGAACTTCGGTCAGCCTCGTGCAAGGCAAAGGCCCTACCTGCTCCGGCCCCTCCCTCCATTCTTTTCTCCCTCCTCCCCCCGCTCCCCCCACCACATAGCTTCCTCCCCAGACACTCAAGACTTGCCCCCCCACCTCCGACTTACTGCTTCCAACCTGTGGATTTTTTTCTTTGGGGGAGGGGCCAGAACAAGCAAGTCCACTCCTCCTGTTTCCCTTTTTGGAAAGCTTCCAGAATATTCCACAGGCAGCTGATTGCACCTGGTCTTCCTTCCTCCCCCGCCCCCAGTGAGTGGAGGTGTAATGTCTGAGAAGGCTGGTAACTCACCCAGGCCCAGACACCCACACCTCAGGAGATAGATATCTCAGGAGCCCCAGCGAGAGCCCCTCTCGCTGCCGGGGAAGTTACTGGAACCTGATATGGTTCTGCCTTTGGAGCTTCAGCTGGGACTGCAGAGCTGGGAGACCTGGTCTGAGAGAACCATGAAAGTCTGTCAGATGCTGATCTTCCCTGAGGCCACGGGGTCCGCCCCTGTTTCCAGGCCCCCTGAGTCAGTATCTAGGAATGGGCTCAGGCATGGCTCTGTGAACCTCCCCCGCGTTCCTGTGTGGCCACATTACCAGAGAGTCAGGAAGCTTCTCCAGGTCCTGAATCGGGGGTGCTGGGCCCAGCCATGTCCAGGAGCCCCCCGGGATCTCCTTTCCCTCTTCTTTCCCATTGTGGTGCCAGGGAAGTACCAAAGGGGCCCACACATTTGGCTGTGGAGTTGGAGTTGACACACTCAGCTGGGGTCCTGAACTTTGGTTTCTCTTTAAGGGCCCCGCGTAGAGGTGCTCAGGAGCACATTGTGCAGGGACCAAACCCAGGGCCTTGTACTGGCGGGTCATGCTGCTGGATCTCTCTTCCAATTTTGTACAGTTAGGCGTGTTTTTTTTTTTTTTTTTTTTTGTCCACACCGACAGTGTTGAAGTTTACTCCTGGCTCTGTGCTCAGAGCTCACTCCTGGCTGGGCTTGGGGGACGGTATGGGGTACTGAGGATAGAATCTGGGTGGGCCACGTGCTAGGGAAACACCTCCTGCTGGACGATGGCTCCAACCCTGTTTTGTATCTTTGATCTTGTGCTGGTCTGTGCTTTCGTCTATGGAGAGTGCACACAGCAGGTCCCTGGGAGTTCCTGGAACTGTGCTTGGTGCGCATGTGCAAGGTGGGGGTCGAACACTTGGGTTCCTGCTTGCAAGGAAAGTTTATCTCTCTCTCTCTCTCTCTTTTTTGCAGAGGGTGTACAATTAATGGTGCTCAGGGGTTACTCCTGGATTACTGCTCAGGAATCACCCCTGGCATTTGTCAGGGGACTATATGGGATGCCGGGGGTTGAATCTGGGTCTGCCACATGCAAGGCAAGCACCCTAATCGATGTACTATCTCTCTGGTGCTTTTGCCACTGGAAACTATTATTAATATTCTATGTGATAATAGAAGTATTATTATATTTCTTGTGCTGAGGATTGAGTCCAGGCACTTACACATATGCAAGGCAAATGCTCTACTCCTGAGCTCTCTCTCTGGAACCCGCAAAGCAATTTGAACCGTATTCCGGGTCATTGTCACAGGATCCTCTACTAATTAGGCTTGGGGAAAGGTGACGTTAGAGTCCCACCTTTGGATCCTCCTGCGCTGGTACCAGTGACTGAGCCGTCTCCAGAGGTCAGACCATCTCGCACGGAGGCAAAGATTTGGGCTCAGTGACTTGGCAAGCTGTGCTGGAACCAGTCCATGGAGCAGTGGGGGGAACCACTGGTCCACCCCCCAAGTTTATGGAACTGCTGATTCATGAACCAGTGAGGACATGTGATGACTGGTGGATGTAGACAGGTTGAAGGATGCTGGCTTAGAGCACCTGCCTCCAAGCCAACGTCAGGAGTCCAATCCTGGGGGCTTCTGTCAGGCTGAGCCAATTCCTGGTGATGCTGCCTGGGGCCCAGTGCTGCTGGCTGTACCTGCCTCACTGCAGCCAAGTGAGCCTCCGATTCGCGTCCCTGGAGGGAACACAGTCATAGCCCCAGAGCTTCCCACACACAGCTTATATTTATGGCTTTATTTCGGCTACCCCTGGCAGTGCTTGGGGCTTTCTTCCTACTCTGCACTCAGGGATCACTCCTGCAAGGGTTCAGGGGATGAAACCTGGGTCGCCACGTGCAAGGCGAGCTCCCTCCCTGCCGGACTATCGCTTCAGCTCCTCCAGTTGTAATTTTAACTTGCATTTCTCCATTTACAAATTAAGTCAAGCCCAGTTCTATGTTTGCTATGTGACCCGTGTTTAGGACCAGATTCCTACTTACCCCCTGCACTCCTGAGCCTTGGTTTCCTCATCTGTAAAATGGAAGTGATAAAGAAACCTTGTTCTCGGTGCAAGAAGGAAATGAGTGGGGCTGTGGGCGGGCGCCATTATAAAAATAGATGCTGGCCGATGAGTTGCTCGTTCCAAACCAGATGACCTTCTTTACTGGGAAGTGCACCACGTGGGAACAGCGTGTGTCGCCCGATTCTGCCTTAGAGGAGGGTGCACATGACTGCCAGGGCTGCACCTGCCCCTGCGTTGGACAGACCCCCTGCAGGGGCCTCCTGAGCCTCTGTTGCTGGGGGGTCCACCAGGGCCACTCTGTGGTGCTGGGGCGGGCGCTTAGTGTCAGGGATGGAACTCGGGTCCTTGTGAATGTACAGAAACCCCTCCCCCAAACCACACACGCGCGCGCGCGCGCACACACACACACACACACACACACATACAACTCTCTCTCTCTCTCTCTCTCTCTCTCCACACCCAACTTGAGCTTTCCCCACCAGGGCAGTTTTTGTTTATTTGTTTGTTTTTTTGCAATGGATCACCAGATTACAAAAGTTCTTTTTAAGTGAGTTTCAGGCATACAATGTCCCAACACCAATCCCTTCACCCGTGCCTTCAGTTTCCCTCTGGTCCCCAGCCTGCCTCTCTGGCCGACATGTTCCTTTTTCCCTTTTAGGCACTGTGGTGGGTTGCAGCACTGTTCCTGAAAGGATATCATGCACATCACTTGACCTCCTTTCAGCGCCCAAATGGACCACTTTCCCCTATCATTGTCGGAGTGGTCCCTTCCTGTCCTGCCCCCCTGTCCCTACTGTGGCCAGCTTCCTACAAAGGGCCAGTGTTTGGGCAAGTTACTAAGCTGGCGCGCTGCTGACATTTTTCTTTTCTTTTTTTATTTTTTGGCTACCCCCGGCAGTGCTCAGGGCTCACTCTTGGCTCCGCACTCGGGATCACTCTGGCAGGACTTGGGGCCAGATGGGATGCTGCATGGGGTCGGCCGCGTGCAGGGCAGACATGCTGCTCCTGCTGGTGTCTGGGTCTGTGCGTGCCTCTCTGAAGGGCTGTGTGAGGGCCGGGTTGGCTGTGAGTGCTAGCAGGTGGCTCCTGGAGAAGGAGCTGGTGTTCAGGCCACCCCAGATTGAGTTTCCATACCAGACTCCACCACCTGCTGGCCTTGCTCTCTGTTCTGGTTTGCTCAGGGCCCTGGGGCCACTCAACAGATGAGGAAACCAAGGCCCAGTGGCAAGAGCCAGGTCAGGCACGGGGTTGGGGCGGGGAGTGTCCTGCCCCTTGGCTGGGACCCAGGCTCCACCTCCTCTCCAGGCTCTCTGTCACTGACCCATCCAGAGAAGGACGTCGCCCCCACCCCCACCCCCAGCCGCTGTTGCTCCAGAGTGGCTGGGCCCCTTGGCAGCAGACCGCAAACAGGAAGCTGGTCATTCCTGCCGCACAGACACCAGGGGGCAGGTGGCTTATGGGCACGTAGACCTTGCTGCCTCCAGCCACCCGTGTGTAGGGTCTGCCAGGGAGAGTCGCCTGTACCCCGAGTCTCAGGAGTTTGAGAGGGACACTGGCTGTGTCCGAGAATGTCCCTCTGGGGACACATCTGCAGGGGAGGGGGTGGCTGCAGTCAGACCTGGGGAGCCGAGGCCAGCTGGGAGCTGCACTTCTCCGGGAGGCCCCCCACCCCCCCGTCCTGCGGCCTCCTGGGCTTTTTGCCCGTAGAAGCTCCAGGTGTTTCCAGCAGCTGACTTGGGCCCTACTACGACACTTCACTGCTCTGTGCAAACTCAGCCTCCAGTGAAATAGATGCTGGGGTCCCCTCTTGCTGTGGCCCCCAGGGTATCAGATGGCGAGGGGACCCTCTGCCCCGGGTGTTCCTCCACCTCCTTTTATTTCACTGGGAATCACTGGGCAGGAAGCTGGGGAGGGGAGGAGGGCAGCAATGGACTCTGCGGAGCAGCCCTGGGCCGTTTCTTGGAGTGTTCTGGGGGTGAGGGGTGCTTCAGCTCTGTCCTACTTCCTCGCCATCCCTAGGTCAGCCCAGCACACCTGGAGTTCTCGAACCATTGGCCTGAGCATCTTCTGAAGTTGTTCCCCCACTTGGTCATCAGGATGGGGTGCAGGCAGCGTGCCCCTGAGATTTTTTTTTTTTAAGGTTTTGGGCCATACCCGGTGGTGCTCATGGGTTACTCCTGGCTCTGTGCTCAGGAATCACTCCTAGTGGTGTTCAGGGGACCCTATGGGATTCCGGGGTTCGAAGCTCAGTTGGCTGGGTGCAAGGCAGTGCCCTCCCCACTGTGTTATGCTCTGGCCCCTCACCCTGCCTTCTGCTCTCTGTGCCCTCCCCTGGGCCCTGCTCCTGGCCTCTTTCTGTCCATTTTTAGAGCCTGCCCTGTGGGGGGGGACCCCATTTCCAAGGTGCACATACCCTGCAGGGCCAACCCAGTACCTTGTGTCAGGAGTGTGTGGGTCCTCGGCGGGGTGGGCTCTGGCACCTGAAGACGGGGCCCACAGGAGACAGAAGCTCCTGACCCTTGGACCCTGGGAGCTGGAACCTGCATTTTCTCAGGCGTTCCACCTCCCTGCTTGCCTTGTGTGGTCCTTTCTCCTCTGCTCCTCAGGGCTGGAATTTATCCTCCCGGAGTACCTGGCCTGGAGCCCAGTGCTTGGTAGGAGCTTCATAAATGGCACTTCCTACTTCTGACCCAGAGGAAGCCCCAATGGCAGGCCCCAGGGACTCTGGGGTGCGGGGAGGCTGGTGCCAGGCGCAGGGAACGACAGTCTCCATCGTTGGGCTGATGCTTCTGCAGACAGGGATGTTGGTTCGGTCCCTCACATCTACCAGCTGCACTGCAGGGGAGCCTTTGTCCCACCTCCTCCTCAAGGCTCAGTTCCTCAAGCCAGGATCACCTCGCTCCCCACCCCATGGGGCCCTGGGTTCTCGACTCACGTGGGTGGGCCGTGTGCTCTGCCTCCTGCAGATCAAGTACCACGAGGAGTTTGAGAAGAGCCGCATGGGTCCCAGTGTGGGCGATGGCCTTGAGCCCGAGCGCAGAGATGCCCAGGATGGTGGCAGCTACCGGCGGCCGCAGGAGCAGCACCACATCCCGGCCAGTGCCCCGGGTGAGCCAGGGGGTGGGAGGGAGGCCCGGGGCACCCTGGGGTCCCATCCTGAGTGCCTGGGGATAGAACCTGGGCAGGGACCCCGAGTTTTGGGGGGTGGGGGTACCTCGCTCTGGCTGTGGAATAGTGGAGGCTCACGTTGTGGTTCTGAGAAGTGGGGGCTGGAGCACAGTTGCGGGCGTCAGGGAGGGGAGGACCTGGGGGGCTGGGTCTGAGCTGACCGTTCCGTGCCCCTGTCCCTCCCCCCCAGTCTACCCGCAGCCCCAGCAGCAGCCTGTGGCCCAGTCCTACGGCTACAAGGAGCCAGCGGCCCCAGTTTCCATACAGCGCAGCGCCCCAGGCGGGGGCGGGGTGAGTACCCGGCCAGGTGGGGCTGGGGGAACTGGGCATTCCGGCACTTCCTACATGTGTGAGGCTGTGGTGGGCTTCACCCCGGAGGTCTCAAGTCTCTGCCTCCCAGCTCCGGCCCTCTCCGCTGTTGACTGGGGTGTAGACAAGCCACTCTTTCCACACGTTCCTGGGAACCTGAGAAGCCCGTGTGCCTTGGGCCCCTGATCTAGGCGCCACCCTCTGGCCATCCTGGTAGGTGGCCCTGCATTTCTCTCAGCTTCCCCACGGCTCCTCAGAGCTTCCTTGAGATGGTCCCTGAGGGTGACTCTCCTGTGTGACCCCCAGAGGCTCACTAGGGGCAGAGCAATCACCAAGGGATCTCCAAGGGGGACACCGACTCATCAGCTCTGCTGGATAAGTGAGGGGATGGGGCGGCCGCGTGTCCCATGCCTCAGCCCCCATCCTCAGCCCCCGACTCCTCCATGCCCGGGGCCGGCCCGCACAGTGCCCAGTGCTCAGGCAGGACGGGGCCTGGCGTACAAGGCTGCAGGCTCCGACTCGCCAGGATGGGCGCCTCCGTGGGCGGCCTGCGAGGGTTCCTGGAGTGTGGGGCTCCCGACAGGCGGTCTGGAAGCCTTGCCCAACATGGCTTTCATCCCTGACAAAAGCCCTTTCTCCCCTCAGAGAATGTTCCAGCAGGAGACAAGCAGGACTGGGTAGTGGTGAGGTCAGAGGGGATGAGCACTGGGGCCTTTTTTTTGTTTGTTTGTTTTTGCTTTGGCTTTTGCGCCATGCCTGGCGATGCTCAGGGGTTACTCCTGGGTCTGTACTCAGAGTACGTGTGGTGCTGGGGATTGAATCCATGTCAGCTGTGTGCAAGGCAAGAGCTCTACCCATTGTGCTATCTCTCTCTTGACCTCAGCCAAGAGCCTTGATAAGAGGAAGCAGTGAGTCAGGCCAGAACAGCTGGTGCAAGGTGCCTGAGGCAGGATAACCCAGGGATGACCCTGAGCCACAGGCCCAGGTGATGGGGAGCGGGTCCTTTGTGATCCCTGGCCCTCCACAGTGACAGGCTCCACTTGGAGTTGTTTTTTTCTTTTTGGGTTATTCCTGGCTCTGCACTCAGGAATTATTACTCCTGGCGGTGCTTGGGGAACCATATGGGATGCTGGGAATCGAATCCAGGTCGGCCGCGTGCAAGGCAAACGCCCTAGCTGCCCGCTGTGCTATCGCTCCAGCACCTTCTACTTGGAGCTTTTAAGATCACTTTGGCATGTGCCAACCTGCACCAGCAGCTTCATCAGTGGCCCCTGGTGGCCCCTGAGCACCATCAGGAGTGGCCTGGACCTAGTTCTGCCGGGAACATTCCCTAATCAAACTATCAAGAGCCAGGGAGACGATTCACAGAATCGGGGGCAGTGTCAGGGTCCATCTCCCGCACTAGAGGGTCCCCCAACATCTCTGGGAGCACTGCTGGGTGTGGCCCCCGGACATCGAAGCTCGAGAGTTTATAGAGAGTGGTAAGATGGCACTGGCCACAGTGTTAAAAAGGGGCAGAGGAAGTCGAGGGCAGACGGGACGTGCTGGGAGGCTGTTGCCGGCTGCAGACGTGCAGAGACCTGAGCCGGAGGCAGCGTCAGTGACGCGAGGTTGAGCTCATCTGGGGGTTGGTGGAACTGGTTGCTGCTGCTGGAAAGAAAACGTTGAGGGGCTGGGGTGACGGTTTGCAGGGCCAAGCCCCTGCTTTCCAGGTAGGAGGCCTGAGTTTGATTCCCACCCCTGGCAACACATGGACACCTAGCAGTGCTGGGAGTGACCTTGAGCACTGTGTCAGTAGTAGAATAACCCCCATATAGTGCCAGGTGTGACCCCACCAGAAAAACAAAGAGCATGAAACCCTTTCAGTAACAGTACTACAAACCACTGTGCCTTCAAGAAGGACAGAGAGAGAGAGGGCAAAGTGTCTGCCCAAAAGGGGCAGGCTTCTGGGGCGGAAGGGGAGCTGGAAGAAAAGAGAAAGGTGTAGAAGTGCTGAAGGGGGTCGAATCATTTAATTTTTCCCCCTGATGGGGTGGGGGACACATCAGGCAGTGTTCAGGGCTTACTCCTGCTCTGCTTTCAGGAATCACACCTGGCAGGGCTTGGGGGACCCTGTGGGATGCTGGGATTGAATCTGGCTTGGGCCTGTACCAGGCAAACGCCCTCCCCGCTGTACTAGCGCTCTGGCCCTGGAGCTGGAGTGTTTTTTTTTTTTTGGGGGGGGGGGTCACACCCGGCGATGCACAGGGGTTACTTCTAGCTCTGCACTCAGGAATTATTCCTGGCAGTGCTCATGGGATGCTGGGGATTGAACCCCAGGTCAGCCATGTGCAGGCAAACGCCCTGCCCTCTGTACTGTCACTTTGGTCCTGGAGCTGGAGTCTTGAGGTGCCAACATGTTCGTGCCTTGGCCGCGGGCTCCGCCCAGGGCACAGTGGGGAGAGGCGCGCAGGCGGCTGGGGGTCCCGGGCTGACTGTGTCCCCTCCGCGCAGAAGCGGTACCGCGCCGTGTACGACTACAGTGCTGCCGACGAGGACGAGGTCTCCTTCCAGGACGGGGACACCATTGTGAACGTGCAGCAGATCGACGATGGCTGGATGTACGGGACGGTGGAGCGCACGGGCGACACCGGGATGCTGCCGGCCAACTACGTGGAGGCCATCTGAGCACCCAGGCATCTCCAGCACCTTCCAGAGCATTCCATGCCTCCATCACCCCCCATGTCTCTGCTTTCCCAAACCCGAGACAGCGTCTTTCCTCCCCCCTCCTCGGCCAGTTCCCCTCCGCTCCTTGCTTCTCTCTCTGACTGGAGCAGGGGCACGTCTCTCTGCAGGAGGCTGGGCCCCTGGGGCTGGTCTGAATATCCCCAGGGTACCTGCCTCAGCTTTCTCTCCTACCCCCTCACACCCTCCTGCCCACTTCTCGCACATGGAACATTCCAGAGCTGGGTGAGCCCAGATGCCCAGAACCCCCAGACATTCCTCAGCATGGGACCCCACCTGCCATGGGCACAGGCTGGGTCCCGCTCTAAGGCAGGGCCCAGTGAGGAGGGCTTTGCCCTGGGGTGCATTTCTCCCTCTCCATGTATGTCCCTTTCACACTGTGATTTTTAACCCCCCCAACCTGGTTGGGGGGACTCCCCCCAGGGGTGGAGGATGAACAGCTGCAGACACAGAAAGGGGTGTTTGCTCCCACCGCCCTTTTCCTCACCCCACCTTCATCTCCCCCACCCCCCCTCCCAAATCTTCAGGGACCCAGATTTACCTTCTTGGCTGGAAGCTGGGGTCCTGAAGGGAGGTGGGGGGGTTGGTGGCAAGGAAGCCTCGGGCCTCTTGGCCTGCGCAGGGCCAGCTCCTGAGACGGTGTTGGCCAGGCCCCCCAATCCTCAGGGGAAGATGGCTCGTTCCTGCTGGCAGAGCCACACACGGGGCGCTCTCACATCTAGGACCTAGTGATGGACGAGGGGTGTGGGTGTGGGCCAGCTGGTGTGAGCAGAGGCAGTGAGCAGGCGTCTGGGGGTATATGCTTGATTGCAGACTGCGCCCCCACCCCAGTTTCCTCAAACCCACAATGAGGGGAGACAGCCCTGCTTCCCTGGGAAAACGGCTTTCCCCGGGCCCCACACAGGTCCCCGCCCGTCCCCCCAGCGTGCTGGGCTACGCACGGGCAGGATGGATGTAGGGGCTGGAGATACTGATGGGGGAAGAAGGCTTTCTGGAAACAGCATTCTGTTCCCCCACCTCATGTGCCCTGTCTCTAGAGATAGGGGACAAGTTTGTGTGTCTCCTACACAGAGGGGTGCTTCACTCTGGGCCCCACCCCTAAGCCCCCCAGAGCAGAGGGAGGTCCCAGGGCTACAGAACTGGAAGCACAGGCCCGGGGAGGCCGAGGGAAGCCGGTGCTATCTCAAGGTCCCTCCTCCCCGTGGCGGCTGGGACCGCTCCGTCCTGGTTCCCCTGTGCTTGCTCATCCCCTGAGTCCTCGAGAGGGTCTGGGACTGCTTGTGGGATCACCCGGAAAGGAACCTCCAAATCGAGGCGGGACCTGTTAGACCTTCCCTCTTCCTGTAGCCCAGCTAAGAGGGGGGCTGGTGGAGCGTTTTATATTGGGCATGTTTGTGGGAGGGGAATGCCTTCATTCATTCCATTTCCTCTCAATCTCAAAGCACAACATGGATTCAAGGTCAGAGAACACCTGGCTGAGGGCCCAGAGGGGTCCCCGGAAGTGGCCCTTGGTTCAGGGCTTCCCCTTCCTTTCCAAGCCAAAATCCCCACCACTGGAATCTCGCTGCAGGCCCTGTGCCCCTCCCACCCTAAAATGGGGAGCTATTCTGACTCCTCCAGAGAGAGGAGGGACTGTCCCACTGGTGCTGAGGGGGACCTTGTTCCTTTCCAGAACCTTCTGTGGAAGGGCACAGACTTGGAGGGCCAGGCAAGCCCTCAGTCTTTATTTCACATCACAGTGGTCTCGTATTCCGTCCACCCTGGGAAGGAGACAGGTCCGAGCTAGAATGTGAGCCGGACTTCAGTGGACCAATAATAAATACAAGAAGTTGGACAGAGAAAGGGATTTCTCTCCACGTCGCTTCCTGTTTTCCTCCTGTCCCTCAAGGGAAAACTTTCCTGCTTCATTTCTGCCCTTTACCCCCCTCACACATGCACTTTGGCTCTCCCCTACCCCCCCGTTTTTTTTTTCTTTAAGAGCTGGAAAAATAAAATAGAACACCCCACAAACCTGTATTTAAAAAAAGAAATGACCATGTGAGCTTTGCCGCTGTCCAAACATTTCATCCGTGTTGCGCTACCGTCCGTCCATTCATCTTTTCTATGGGGCGGGGGTCTCCTCGGTCTGTTTTTGGTCCCCTCCCTTGTGGGCTTGTGCTTGGGATCAAATCTTTCTGGCCTGTTATTGACTCTCAACATTTATTTGACTTGGACCACAAGTGAATCTTTCTCCGTGACTCAAATAAAAGTATGATTTTTACCTGCGGACTTGGTTCTCTCTCTGGCTCTGAGGGTGTGGGGGTGTGTATGTGAGTATGTGTGTGTGAGGGTGTGTGTGTGTGTGTGTGTGTGTGTGTGTGTGTGTATGGTCCTGTATGATTTGGGCTCCAAGGTCCTGTGCTCTGTATTTTGGGGGCATTAGCCAATGTGAGTGTGTGTGTGTGTGTGTGTGTGTGTGCGCATGCGCGCGCATGCATACTGCAAGGGGCACTGACCCTGTCTTCCTCAGAGCCTGCTGCCTTCAGGGTGCAAGTGTGCCAGTGGCTGATTTGGAAGCAGGCAACCCAGCAGGTGGGAGGGTTCTTTTTTTTGGGTGGGGGGTCACACCTGGCAATGCACAGGGGTTACTCCTGGCTCTACACTTAGGAATCATTCCTGGTGGTGCTTGGGGGACCATATGGGATGCTGGGAATCGAACCCGGGTCTGCCGTGTGCAAGGCAGACGCAAGGCAGACTTCCATCCTTACCTGCTGCTTCAGCCCCCAGTGGGAGGTTTCTTTCTTTTTGTGGGGAGGGGTCACACCCGGAGATGTTCAGGTGTTACTCCTGGCTCTGCACTCAGGAATCACTCCTAGCGGTGCTCAGGGTACCATATAGAATGCTGGGAATCAAACCCGGGTCAGCCATGTGCAAGGCAAACACCCTATGGGAGGTTTGCACCTCCTTATGGGACATCCCCTCCAGCCCCTCCCTCCCTTAGCTCCCAAGTCACTGCCTGCACCCGGGCAGTTTACGGGTCTAATTCCTTTCGGCCTGGAGCCAGCTGCTCCAGGGGCCTTTGCTGGCAACCTGAGTGAGCGGGACTGGCCACTTGAAGCCACCCATGGCCAAACTCCTGCTCAGAGCACAGCTGTGTTGAGGGGTGAACAGTGATGAGGATCCAGCAGCCTTCACAATGCCCTATGAAGGGTGCTGAGGCCCGGAGAATAGTGCTCAACTGGCTGAGTTCCTGCTTCGCGCACAGGAGTCCTGGCACCATGTGCTGCCCCAGTCACCACCAGGAGTGACTCCTGAGCACTGCTGGGTGTGGCTCAAACACTGGGGAAAAAAGGGGTGGGTGTTTTGAGTGCATATTTTCTCCTTTGGCTTTTGGTGAGTGAGAATAACCACTTCAGGGCCAGAGCAATAGGACAGCAGGGAGGGCGTTTGAACTTGCATGCGGCCAACCCCATGCTGGTTTGATCCCCAGCATCCTATGTGATCCCCTGAGCACTGCCAAGGAATAATTACTGAGTGCAGAGCCAGGAGTAACCTCTGAGCATCGCCAGGTGTGTCCCTAAAACAAAACAAAAAGAAATAACCACTGCAATGTCCCCCTTCCAGTGGGTCGCCTGGAGGCCCGGGAAGGCAGCCACTGGTGGAAGTCTTAGTACCCACCTTGTGGCACTGTCTCAGGCCTGCTGCTGGCCGCAGCAGCCTACCTGCCTGTGCCCTTCCTGCCTCTCAGCATCTCCCCTGCGACCTGCTTTGCTCCAGGTGTGCTGGGCCTGGCCTCTACCTGGGATGCTAGCTGCCTCCCGTCTCACTCCGTGGGGCTGGGGAGGGCACAGCAGTAGAGAAGGGATCCAGGCCCCCACCCCAGCCCCCACTGCCATCAGCTGCCCCAGCAGTTCTTAGAGTCGGGCTTCCCCTCCTTGGTGCAGTGTGGTAGGGTGCGTTCTCTGGATTCAGGACTGCTGTGGGTGCAGAGGGAAAGGGCTTCTCCCCCTAACCTGAGCCTTTATGCCAGGAGAAAGGCGCTATGGAGGTACGTGTGTGGGGCTGCTGGAGGTGGCCGGTACCAGCAGTGCTGGGCGAACTCGTGAGGAGATGGTGTCCCTGGGTCTGTCCTGCGCTCACAGGCTGTCCCCATTGGTCTGCAGAGGTCCCTGCAGAGGTCCCTGGGGAGGTGCTATTATTCAACCCTAGAGCTTCCCTGAGGAAAACAGGAAGCAATGTCAAGTGGAGGGGCTTTCGGGCTATTTTACAGGCAGGCAACTGGGAAGGGCTTATGCCAAGTCTCCTGCCCACAGAAAGCTGTGTGCTCCACCTCCTGGGGCCAAGGGAGGCATTTTAGCCTGGACCAGGGGCTGGAGGAGGAGCCGTGGGTTTGCTTCCCCAGCAGAGCACTAAAGTAGCCCCAGTACTATGGAGTGAGACCCAAACAAAAATGAAAAAAAAACTAGAAGTAGTTTTGGGACTGGAGAGATAGTACAGCAGGTAGGGTGCTTGTCTTACTCATGACAAACCCACTTTCTTTCTTTTTTAAAATTTTTATTAGTGAAACACCACAAGGTACAGTTGTAGACTTACAATTTTTTTTTCTTTTTGGGTCACACCCAACGATGCACAGGGGTTATGCCTGGCTCTGCACTCAGGAATTACTCCTGGTGGTGCTCGGGGGACCATATGGGATGCTGGGAATCAAACCCGGCAAATGCCCTATCCACTGTGCTATCGCTCCAGCCCCCAGACTTACAAATTTTTGTGCTTGGGTTTCAGTTATACAATGATCGAGTACCCATCCCTCCACTAGTGCCCATTCTCCACCACCACTGATCCCAGTATCCCTCCCACCCCCCACCCTCCATCCCACCCTACCTCTGTGGCAGTGCATTCCCTTTTGTTCTCTCTCCTTTTGGGTCCTGTGGTTTGCAAAAGAGACATTGAGTGGCAATCATGTTTGGTCTATAGTCTACTTTCAGCATGCATCTCCCATCCTGGGAGGATCCTCCCAATACCCTTTACTTGGTGCTCCCTTCTCTATCTGAGCTGCCTTTTCCCCTAGCATGTGCGGCTGGCCTCCAAGCCATGGAATGAATCTCCTGGTACTTATCTCGGCTATTCTTGGGTGTTAGTCTCCTATTTTGTTACATTATATTCCCCAGATGAATGCAATCTTTCTATGTCTGTCCCTTTCTTTCTGACTCATTTCACTTAGCGTGATACTTTCCATGTAGTACCACTTGTATGTAAGTTTCATGACTTCATCTTTTCTAACAGCTGCATAGTACTCCATGGTGTAGATGTACAAAAGTTTCTTTAACCAGTCATCTGTTCTCGGGCACTCGGACAAACCCACTTTCAGTTCCCTGGCACCCCATATGGTTCCTTAAGCCATCAGGAGTGATCCCTGAGTGCAGAGCCAGGAGTAAGCCATGAGCACTGCTGGGTATGGCCCCCTCAAACAACAAAAAAGTCTAATTCCTGAGGAGGGGTGACTACCCCCAAACCCCGCTAAAGAGCGATTTAGGGGGAGCCGTGGATATTTGCCCTCGGATGAGTCACAGGGAATTGTTCTTAATGTAGGAAAAAATGAAAGAAATGAAAGAAAATTGAGTTGATTTTTTTGGGTTTGTTTTAGTTTTGTGCCCATGCTGGGCGGTGTTCAGGGGTTACTCCTGGCTCTGCACTCAGAAACCACTCCTGGCAGGCTTGGGGGACCATATGGGATACTGGGGATTGAACCAAGTTGGCCAAGTGCAAGGCAAATGCCCAATCCACTGTATATCTCTCAGCCTGCTCCTTAAAAACATGCTTGCTTCATCTTCCTCCCTCCCTTCCTCCCTCCCTCTGCTTCCTTCCTTCCTTCCTTCCTTCCCTCCCCCTCCCTCCCTCTCTCTCTTTCTCTCTTTCTTTCTCTCTCTCTCTTTCTTCCTTTCCTTTCCTTTCCTTTTCTTTCCTTTCCTTTCCTTTCTTTTCTTTTCTTTTCTTTGCCACACCCAGTATTGCTCCTGACTCTGAGCTCAGGGATCATTCCTTGCAGGGGTATCACACTCAGTTAGAGTTCAATCTGCCTTGCTGTGTGCAAGGTAAACACCATATCCACTGGCCTTGACCTGGTTTTTCTTTTTCAGAGACTTGGGGGAATGGATCCTGGGCTCCCTACATGCAAAGCACATGCTCCAGCCTTTTGAACCATCTCCCTCACCCCTTCCCTTGTTCTTTCTCTATAAAAGCTGCTTTCTGGGAGCAGAGAGAGAGAGAGAGAGAGAGAGAGAGAGAGAGAGAGAGAGAGAGAGAGAGAGAGAATGTCACTAACCACAAATTACTAGCACCACACAGGACCCTGAGCACAAAGCCACTGGGTGTGGCCCCAAAACCAAAGGTACTTCTTTGGACGGTGCAAATAAGTGGGTCACTTTGAGACCACCATGGGGTTGAGGAAGCTACGTAAGCGCAAGCTAAGCTGGACAGCACAGGGCGCTTGGGCACTCGCAGGGGGTAGCAGCCAGATCTGGGGTGGTCCCCGCTGTTCCCAGTCCACCACTGCGCCGTCCTTCCTGTCTGGGCACCTCATCTGGGACATCTTGCAGGGAGGTTGAAACGACAGGTGTGAGCGCCCTCCCCCCTCTCGCGCCATCCCCCCCCGCAGATACCCACTGAGACCGCCGTCCTGGCCAGAAGATACCCCAAGGTGACCTTCCTAACTTGCTGAGGGCCCACCCACTCTCACCCACGAGATAAGGGAGGGAGAGGAAAGAAGAAGGAGACAGGGATCAGGCGCTCCTCCCGCGCCCCCATCCCGCGGGCTCCAGAGTGGGACCCGGTTCCCGGGGCGGGGCCGGGGGGAACCTGGAGCCTCTCCGGATCTGCCCAGTCTAATTCGGGCAGTTCCCTGGTTACCCCTTGGGGCTCAGTGATTGGCTGGCTGCGGGCTGAGGGCGGGATGGAGGTACCCGCTCGGCCCGGGTGGGGGAGGGGAGGGGCGGCGGGGCGCGGGTCGGGAGGGGCGAGGGAGCCATTGCTCGGCGCCGACTCTCCCTGCCTGGAACCTCGAGGCCGCGGGGCCCAGGACTCCGCGATGCTGGATATTTTCATCCTCATGTTCTTTGCCATCATAGGGCTGGTGGTCCTGTCCTACATTATCTATCTGCTCTAGGGGCGCCGGCGGCCGGGGATGGAGCCGACTGGTCCCGCAGCCCGTCTTCTGACGCATCGGTAGATTTTTTTAAAAATTATTATTATTATTATTTTTGCTTCTGATCGGTCATTCCTTCGGGTTT